GCACATCAACATGGGCAAACACCTACACCTCCTCATGGACTTTATGGGGACAAGGTACTAATACTGAAGTTGTTGTAGTTCCAAGATCAGAAACCACTACCACCACCACATGGGAAAATAATTACTCGGCCACATGGACAAACTGGGATGGTATTGATGGTGTGAATATTGTGATTGTTCAAGTTCCATCATCAACTACTCAAGGAAGCGCAACTACCACAAGTACATGGTGGGATACTTACACTACTAGTACTACGATCACTGGATGGGACGGTACAAACACATTGGTTATCCAAGTGCCAACTCCATTGGTAACTAGCACATCAACATGGGCAAACGCCTACACCTACTCATGGACTTTATGGGGACAAGGTACTAATACTGAAGTTGTTGTAGTTCCAAGATCAGAAACCACTACCACCACCACATGGGAAAATAATTACTCGGCCACATGGACAAACTGGGATGGTATTGATGGTGTGAATACTGTAATTGTTCAAGTACCTTCAATATCTAGCTCGTTGTCAAGCTCGCCTTCAAGCACTGTTGCAAGATTCTCTGAAAACGTTGCCAGTTCTTCTGCCACCTCAGATGAAGCATCATCATCTTCTGCAGCCTCCACATTTAGATCTGAATATTCTGATACTTTAGCTTCAAGTTCTAAATCTGGAGTCTCCGCTTCAGCTTCAACTTCTGAGTCTCGTGTCTCCGCTTCAACTTCAGCTTCTGTTTCAGCTTCTGAATTATTATCTGTTACTTCTGTTTCCGCTGCTGCTTCCGATTCAGCCTCAGCTTCTGATGGCTCTGGTTTTGGTTCTGGTTCAGCTTCCGATGTTTCCGCTTCAGGTTCTAAATCAGCAGCTGATGTTTCAAACTCAGCTTCAGGTTCTGTGTCCGAGTCAATTTTTAGTTCTTGGCCTACATCTATCGATGGTGTTCCAAGTACTTTACAAAACTGTGATGTCGAGCTCAACACATGGACAACAGCTGTTGAAGGTGTAGCAACTACTATTCACCTACCAATTGCAGCGACACCAGTTGTTGATGCTTCTGAGGTAGATGTCGTATTTGGTACCAACACATTCACTGGAGCTGATGCCACAAGTATTTTGAGCATCTACCAGTCATGTGCTTACAGTGTCAGCGCCAGTGCTAGCTCGAACATTGCTTCCGGTTCAGAATCAGCATCTGGTGCTACTGCATCCGTTTCAGAATCAGCATCTGCTTCCGCATCTGAATCAGCATCTGAATTAGCATCTGCTTCCGCATCTGAATCAGCATCTGAATTAGCATCTGCTTCCGCATCTGAATCAGCATCTGAATTAGCATCTGCTTCCGCATCTGAATCAGCATCTGAATTAGCATCTGCTTCCGCATCTGAATCAGCATCTGAATTAGCATCTGCTTCCGCATCTGAATCAGCATCTAAATCAGCATCTGCTTCCGCATCTGAATCAGCATCTGAATCAGCATCTGAATCAGCATCTGAATCAGCATCTGAATCAGCATCTGAATCAGCATCTGAATCAGCATCTGAATCAGCATCTGAATCAGCATCTGAATCAGCATCTGAATCAGCATCTGAATTAGCATCTGCTTCCGCATCTGAATCAGCATCTGAATTAGCATCTGCTTCCGCATCTGAATCAGCATCTGCTTCCGCATCTGAATTAGCATCTGCTTCCGCATCTGAATCAGCATCTGCTTCCGCATCTGAATCAGCATCTGCTTCCGCATCTGAATCAGCATCTGCTTCCGCATCTGAATCAGCATCTGCTTCCGCATCTGAATCAGCATCTGCTTCCGCATCTGAATCAGCATCTGCTTCCGCATCTGAATCAGCATCTGCTTCCGCATCTGAATCAGCATCTGAATCAGCATCTGCTTCGTCTTCAGAATCAGCATCTGCTTCGTCTTCAGAATCAGAATCTGCTTCCTCTTCAGAATCAGCATCTGGGGTTTCAGCTTCCGCTTCAGAATCAGTATCTAATGCTTCAGCATCAGCTTCAGAAGCAGCATCTGGTGACTTTGTTTCCGCTTCAGAATCAGCATCTAATGGTTTTGCTTCAGCTTCAGAATCAGCAACTGGTGCTTCTGCTTCCGCTTCACAATCAGCATCTAATGCTTCAGTTTCAGCTCCAGAACCGGCATCTGGTGATACTGCTTCAGCTTCAGAATCATCATCTAGTGCTTCAGCTTCAGTTTCAGAATCAGCAACTGGTGCTTCTGCTTCCGCTTCACAATCAGCATCTAATGCTTCAGCTTCAGCTCCAGAACCGGCATCTGGTGATACTGCTTCAGCTTCAGAATCATCATCTAGTGCTTCAGCTTCAGAATCAGAATCAGCATCTAATGCTTCAGCTTCAGCTCCAGAATCAGCATCTAATGCTTCAGCTTCAGCTCCAGAATCAGCATCTAATGCTTCATCTTCAGCTCCAGAATCAGCATCCAGTGCTTCAGTTTCAGCTTCAAAATCAGCATCTGGGGTTTCTGCTTCCGCTTCAGAATCAGCACCTGCTTCCACTTCAGAATCAGCATCTGGGGTTTTTGCATCCGGTTCAGAATCAGCATCTAATGCTTCTGTTTCATTTTTAGAATCAGCATCTAGTGCTTCAGGTTCAGCTCCAGAATCAGCATCCAGTGCTTCAGCATCAGCTCCAGAATCAGCATCCAGTGCTTCAGTTTTAGCTTCAGAATCAGCATCTAGTGCTTCTGCATCCGGTTCAGAATCAGCATCCAGTGCTTCAGCATCAGCTCCAGAATCAGCATCCAGTGCTTCAGTTTTAGCTTCAGAATCAGCATCTAGTGCTTCTGCATCCGGTTCAGAATCAGCATCTAGTGCTTCTGCATCCGCTTCAGAATCAGCATCTAGTGCTTCTGCATCCGGTTCAGAATCAGTATTTGGTGCTTCTGTTTCAGCTTCAGAATCAGCATCTAGTGCTTCTCCTTCAGCTTCAGAATCAGCATCTAATGCTTCTGCTTCCGCTTCAGAATCAGTATTTGGTGCTTCTGCATCCGGTTCAGAATCAGCATCTAGTGCTTCTGCATCCGGTTCAGAATCAGCATCTAGTGCTTCTGCATCCGGTTCAGAATCAGTATTTAATGCTTCTGCTTCCGCTTCAGAATCAGTATCTAATGCTTCTGCTTCCGCTTCAGAATCAGTATTTGGTGCTTCTGCTTCAGCTTCAAAATCAGCATCTAGTGCTTCCGAATCAGGTTCTGCTTTTGTTGAATCAGCATCTGGCTCTGGTGCATTATCCTCA